AATTTTGGAATTCCTTCTATGCAGTTCACTGAATCTGTTTAATTCATTTGATTTCATTGTTATTGGGATTCTATGTTATAGTCTTTCAGAACTGGACTACCTTCCTCCTGCCTTATAGTAGGATTTACAAAAGAGTTGCTGATTGCATATTTTGTCCATTATGAGGTAGTATATAGGTGAAGAAGAGGATGATTTGTTTAGACTGATTATTACTTGAATATCCATTCAATAGACCAATTTAGTGTCTTCAATCAAAATACATTAATACTTAAGTCCTTTTTGCATTACACCGTGATATGTAAGAAGTACTTTTTATGAAAATTAAATATTTTTGTTTCGAAATTATTATTGAATATTATATTAAAATAACATTGGATTTTAAATTATGGAGAGAACTCCAATACAGGCATTAGGTGCTACTGCATCAATTTCCGACTCCATATCCGAAAACCATTGTGTAGTTTGTGACGAACAAATACTATCCGATCAAGATACCATAAACATTTTAGAATGTAACCATACATTCCATCGTATATGTTTAGAAGGCTATTTGGCTGAATCCGCAGAATGCCCAACTTGTAAAAGGCCCTGCTCTCTTGCAGATTTAAAGAAAAATGTACCCATAGACAAAGGTAAATCTTATAATAAATCTAGAGGCCGTGGAGCCAGAGCAAAACAACACAATACAAGAAGCTATTGTCGAAACCTTTTTCAAGAGCGTTTTGCTAATTCGTTGGCTGATTCTAATGTAGACATTTCGGCAGACAATGTACAAGACTCACAGGTGCCTAATTCACCCGCCAACTATAGCAATAGGAATGCAATTCCAAACACAATTCAACCTACAATAGATTATACTCAATTAGGAGAAATAATTGAAACCACAATGACTAAAATTTTCAAGAATTTAAACCTGTTGCCTACGACATCTACTAGAGACAGTAATCCAAATTTGTCTTTAAATGTCAACACATCAGTTCAGCAACCCATTCAAAGAAACAACAGCAATCAACCTTCAAATTCCATCATAAATAATACCACAATTCCTCCACCACCAACCACAAACAATCGACCACCAGTTGATACAGTCAGACCTTCTCATTCACAAGAGTGTAGATCGCCCAACTTTTTAGATGCCCAACAGATTAGACCTGATAAAGTCACCTCAATTATTCGAGATTGGCATATCAAATTTGATGGTTCTTCCACTGGAATAAGTGTAGATGAATTCTTGTACAGAGTTCGTACACTGACCAGAGAAAACTTAAATAATGGCTTCTCACAACTCTGCAAAAATTTACCTTTATTGCTGTCTGGGAAAGCCCAAGATTGGTTTTGGCGCTACCACAAACAGGTAGACCACATCGAATGGGAACCCTTTTGTCTCGCTATTAAATACCAATATAAAGAATTTCGATCGTCCTTCGACATAAAGGAGGAAATAAGAGCCCGAAAAATGAAATCAAATGAGAACTTTGAAACTTTTTATGAAGCAGTATCCTCTTTGTTAGACAGGCTTGATTCCCCAATGCCCGAACAAGAATTGTTTGAAATTTTGACTCGAAACTTGCGTCCTGAGATTAGGCACGAGCTTCTTTACGTACCCATTTTTTCTATTGCTCATTTGCGCAAGTTAGTGCAAATGAGAGAATCCCTACTTGGAGAAGATTATTTCCGAAAACCTATGTCGTTAAAGCCTCAATGTAATCGTCGTGTGGCTGAAATACATTTCCCTAGCGACGCTGATTCCGAACATGAGGAAGTTACTCCGCAATTATCTATAGATGCGATTCAACAGCCTCCTAGACAGGTAAAGTGCTGGAATTGCGATGTGTTTGGACACTTTTGGGAAGATTGTGAAGAAGAAAGGAAAGTATTTTGTTATGGTTGTGGAGCCAAAAATACTTATAAACCTCAATGCTCCAAGTGTTCCCTAAAAAAAATTGCCAAGTCAAAAAACTAACAAAAGACTCAATTCCAGAGCAGAATCATACTCACGGTTCATTAGAAGACTGTTCTAGACCTGACTGCTTGGATAAAGAAAACACATTTAAAGTTCTGCACCGACAAACTCCTAATAAACTTACTCAAAATTCAGACACACCAGTTTTATACCCTATTTTACCATACCATCAGAGATGGGAACAATATTTGGCCAAGCGAAAGGAAATTTTTGAAGATTTTCCAATTTCCAACAGAAAACCAAAACGATCAACTTTAAGGTTGCGGCGTTATTACAAACAAAGAAGGTTCATCTCAAAATTTTGCATTTCGTCTACTGTCAATAATGCCGAAGACAAACGTTTTTATGCTTCAGTAAAATTTTTAACTTTTAGCGAGTTAGGATTGCTCGACACAGGAGCAAATGTTTCTTGTATTGGGGCAGATCTCGCCAACACAAATTTTGATAGTTTTAGAGAATTTTTTCCATTGAAGACTAGCGTCAAAACTGCTGACGGTAATATTCAAAGGGTAACCGGTTATTTAGAAGTTCCAGTTGAGTTTAAAAATTCTACGCATAAAATGAGACTATTAATAGTACCATCGATTTCACAAAGACTCATATTGGGACTGGAATTTTGGAAATCTTTCCAATTAGCTCCTGATTTATTTGGCAGTATAGTCTTTTCTTCGTCCAATGAAGATTCATCTAAAATCGTATCCGAAATGTCAGAGTCAAACCTATCTGTTCCCAAAATATCCAATTCTCATGATTACCCACTTTCCCCATCACAACGTCAACAGCTAGCTATTGTAATTGATCTATTCCCCAATTGTGACAAACAAGGCTTAGGTCGAACACCCTTAATACGTCATCATATCGATGTTGATGGAGCTCCTCCTGTAAAACAGCGGCACTATCCTGTGTCACCCGCCGTGGAAAAATTAATGTACCAGGAAATAGACCGAATGCTGGCTTTGGGAGTAATCGAGCCCTCAACTTCAGCCTGGAGCTCACCAATGCGGCTAGTTTTAAAACCCAATAAGGTTCGATTGTGCCTTGATGCGCGTAGGCTCAATCAGGTCACACGAAAAGATGCTTACCCTTTGCCGAGTATCGAGGGAATATTTTCTCGACTTCCAAAAGCTAACATCATTTCGAAGCTTGACTTGAAAGATGCTTATTGGCAAATTGGGCTCACGGAGGAGTCGAAAGCATTAACAGCTTTTACTGTGCCCGGTAGGCCTCTCTACCATTTCGTTGTCATGCCTTTTGGCCTCTGCAACGCTCCTGCCACAATGTGTCGTTTGGTAGATGAGCTTATTCCTCCAGACTTACGAAATTGTGTATTCGGCTATTTAGATGATTTGGTCGTAGTTTCGGAAGACTTTCCCACGCATTTGGCCATTCTCGTAAGACTTGCTGACCAATTTCGGAAAGCCAATCTAACCTTAAATGTGGCCAAATCACACTTCTGCGTAACTGAAGTTAATTATTTAGGCTACATAATCGGCGACGGTGGTATTAAGACCGATCCCCAGAAAATCGACTCGATATTGTCATGGCCTGTACCGAAAAATATTAAACAGGTGAGAGGATTCCTCGGCCTTGCCGGATGGTACAGAAGATTTGTAGCCAATTTTTCGTCTATTGTCTTCCCCATTACTGAAGTCTTGTCGACCAAAAAGAAATTTCGCTGGACAGATGAAGCGCAGGCAGCATTTGACAATCTCAAAAAGCTCCTGACGTCTGCTCCTATCCTCTCCAACCCTAATTTTTCGCAAAAATTTTATTTACACTGCGATGCCAGCGATTTCGGTATCGGTGCCGTTCTGATACAGTTAGATGAGGAAGGAAATGAGAAGCCAATTGCATTCATGTCGCGCAAACTGAATACCGCTCAGCGAAATTATAGTGTAACTGAGCGCGAATGCTTGGCAGCAGTCGAAGCTATAAAAAAATTTCGCTGCTATCTCGAGCTACAAGAATTCGAGGTCATCACCGACCATTCTTCGTTGTTATGGCTGATGAAGCAACCAGATTTAACTGGACGTTTAGCCAGATGGGTGTTCAAGCTTCAAGGCTTCAAATTTTCTATCCGGCACAGAAAAGGCAAAGAAAACGTCGTGCCCGACGCTCTTTCAAGAATACCCTTTGGAGAAATATCTGAAATTGAGTGTCTTCAACCCGAGATCGATTTAGAGTCGTCCCATTTCAATGATGAAGATTATATCCTGTTAAAGGATGAAATAAATAAAAACCTATCTCAGTATCCGGATATCAAGATTGTAGACCAGTTCGTTTATATAAGAACTGATCCATATGACGGGGACCCTGAGCATGAAGTATATTGTTGGAAACTCTGGGTTCCAGAGAAATTACGACAAAATGTTATAACCGTGCTCATAATTCACCAATATCAGCTCATTGTGGTACAGGAAAAACCATAGAACTGATTCGTAGGAATTTTTACTGGCCAGGACTAGTTCATGACGTTCGTAGCTACATTGGCTCTTGTGAGATTTGCAAAACTTCAAAAGCTCCAAATTTTATAATGAAGCCCAATATGGGTCAACAAACAGACATTTCAAGGCCTTTCCAACGAATGTATATTGACTTGCTAGGACCATATCCTCGTAGCACACAAGGTTATATCGGCTTACTTATTGTGTTGGATCATTTGACCAAATTCCATTGGTTATGTCCGCTTAGGAAATTTACTTCTGCTTCCATTATGGATTTTTTGAAAACAAATATTTTCTATATATTTGGAGTGCCTGAGTCGATAGTTAGCGACAATGGTTCGCAGTTCAAGGTCAACGAATTTAACGCCTTTCTTACATCTTTTGGCATTTCTCATACCTACACAGCATTGTACTCTCCGCAAGCAAATGCCTCAGAAAGGGTTAATCGCTCTATAATAGCTGGTATCCGTAGTTACCTGAAAAAAGACCATACTATGTGGAATCAACACCTTAGCGCCATAAGTTGTTCCTTGCGAAATACGTACCACCAAACGATTAAATGTTCGCCATACCAGGCCGTTTTCGGTTTAAATATGGTTACCCACGGTAGTTCATACAAACTTTTAAGAAATCTTGAAGCTTTGAATGAACCCCATGTCCAAATGCATAGAGATGATGCACTGCAAATACTAAGGAAAAATTTAAAAGCCCGCTTAACTGAAGCCTATGAGTCTAATCGTCATCAGTATAACCTGAGGTCGAGACCTATAATTTATAAGGTGGGCCAAGTTGTTTTTCGTAGAAATTTTGCGCAGAGTTCACATGAAAAGAAATTCAACGCGAAATTAGCCCCTCTTTTCATCAAGGCAGTTGTTAAAGAAAAAGTAGGCAGTAATTACGATATATTGCAGGATGCTGATACCACAAATATTGGCACGTACCATGCCAAGGACATTCGTCCTTAAAAAAAAAGAATCAGATTTAGTTCTCCTCCTAATACTTTTGCATACAATGCAAGTATTATGTGGTTTGTAATATGAGTTTCAAAATTAACGTACACTTACTGTACAGTACTTAACATTATATCATGTTAAACAACGTACGTCAATCAATAAGGCAGTGATTATTAAACACTACACTGCAATCTCTCTCTTGTTTCAACTTGCCCTTGCATGAGGTTTACTTAGACCAGCTAATCGTCTTCATCATTCTTTTCTATCGATCCACCAACCAGCAAAGAACTATAAAACATATTGTGACAATTAAAAGTTTTCAACCTGTTAAGTTTTTTAATATTTTGTAAAATTGATTCGTTCAATTGCTGAAGTTTTCTTCACAGTTTCTCACCCTAAAAAAAACACAAAATATCGAGAGGTAAATATTTCATTTTTTCTGATACAGTGTTCAATTTAAGTGAAATATTTTATTAACAGAAAAGGTACCCCATATTCGCCACGCGGCCCACGTGATTTTTTGTGTTACCTCTGCCAGAGGATAACCATTCTCTATATCACGGGAAACAATACCGCTATTCATTATTTTAAAGGTAATCTAAAACAGTAATGGGTTCCGCGGATTTGTCTAATTTTTAATTTTTATCCTCACAGGTTATAAAACCTTTTTATACCGTGTTGGGGGCTCTGAGGAGCCACCACTTAAACGCTATTCTACAAATCCAGGACAAGTTCGATTTCCAAATACAGAATTAAATAGCAGTCTGTTTGGCTACCTGACATTATATCTAAACTGCCAAGACAAACAGCTTGAAAATTGTGGTTTTGTAAATCTTCCCGAAATTTGGTACAAAAACTTCCAATTACGTCAAGTCGGGTCAGTGGATATTGTATTTCCACAATTTCATATTGGAGTCTGCTTATTCAGTCAATTACGTCTTAAGAAGCTGAAAATTTTATAATTTATTTTCTACCGTTGCCATAAAATTTTGAAAGTTTCAACGCAACTTTAAACCCAGCCTGAATTAAATACGCCTTTCAGTTCTGTTTCATCATCAATTCCTACAATAACCTAATATTTATAAAATAATACCTACTATTAAGTTAAAAAAAAAATATGTATGGAGTTACCCATATATCATTAATTACATGGAGATGATAATCACGTTGTTAGATTGAACTTCGGTATGTAAGCAACGCAAAAGTAAAAATTGATCTTCATCGCAGCATAGCAACAACAAAGAACTACCAACTACCATAATGGAAGAGGCCTCTACCAGCGGTGTTTTTGTTTGGTGAGTAAATTAATCAAAACAAAATAACATTGATCTTTTGCATTGCTTGTTACATCGCCAAAGAAAGAACAAAAGAAAACAAAAACAACATCATCATCATTACATTTGATATGTCGCTTGCTTTTATTACTTACTGCATTCAATTCCTATAACAGATTCGGAAGAATTGTTTTTGTTGTTCTTTCTGTTCTTTCTTATAATGTGTCTTACATTATCATCATCATAATTATGTTAAAGAATATATTTAACGATAGCCCTACGATAGGCATACAGAGTAATTTTGTATCTTGAATTAAGTTTTTATGTGCTAATTTGAAGCTCTTATATAATAATTTTTATGTTTGCTAATAATTTTTGTTTTTGAAGTTTACAAAAATGAGTGAATAAACTGATTAAAATTTTCTTACAAGGTGTAATCGGAAAGTGACTTAAATAACTACTTTAGGGATTTTAACTAAGATAATGTGCCTCGTTAAAATCATTGGTTGGGAGGGCTGCGGCACAGGACTCCACTCCATCAGGAGATCCAAATATGTATTTTGGATAAGATTCGTATAATTTCAGCATTATTGACCAAAATGGGGTATTCTTTGTCAGCATTTGATTAGGGCCAATTCATAGTTCATATTCCTTCTTAAGATCAGGGAGTCTAAAATAAATTTATTTCTAGTGTGGACCAAACAAAATGTTAAAGGGAATTGAGAGAGTAAGATTCACCCCAACCCCGACTGTTAGCTAGCACTTGAATGGCTCCCGCCCACTCCTCTTTCCCAATAAAATCAGTTGGTTTTATTTTCTTTATATACCAATACAAGTGGTCCATTACATACTTCGTCAGCCTTTTTAGTACTTAAAATTCACAATTTGTTGACTTTGACAAAGGTTTTAACCAAAACTCCATACTTCGTACCAAATGTTCAGGCTTTTAAGATTTTACATATTATTCAAGTTTTTCTTTTTCGGAAATAATAATGGGAAAATGTCGGCAAAAAGTCCTCAAAATCATGCATTTGCCGAGGATATTAGTAAAACCATTTCACAATGGGCTCACATCCAAGATTTCTGTCCAAACCAACAGTCACCTCAATATTAAAGTATACTCAATATATAAGTATACCAAATTTAGTAACATTTAGTACGCATATCCAAAACAATATACATCTCTCTTTCCCGGACACCAAAAGTAATCCAAAATAAGTACCAATTAGTATTTTAGAACCAGACTCCAACGGTGACCTCGGGATTCCATCTCTATACATTCACTCAATACGAATTTAGTAACATTTAGTACTCTCCTTATAATTTTGGTACTCATTTGCAAAACCGTTCCATATCTCAATCTTGGACACCAACAGTTATCGTAATATAAAATTTCACGGTTTAAGCTCTATCCCTTCACCCAATGCCAAATTTAATTCAAATTAGGACTTTTCGAACAGGCATTTCCAGGCCCATTATTTATATCTGTTTACCTTATTTTAGAAGTTTAGTACCATATTTGAACGTTTCGTAACCTTGAAGGGTTTCCAAAAACCCCTTGTCACATCTATCCTGTACTCCGTCACTCTCATACCAAATTAGCTTATTTCGCTTGTCCAATACAAAGTATTTAATTTGCCTTGCCTTCAAACCAAGACTGACCCCCATAATGCATAAGATAGATTATTGTGAAGCAAAGATTGGAAAAACTCTTGTTACCAAATAATGGTTTTAGTGATCACATTCTGGAACCAGTACCTAAAATATAAGGAAATGCCATAGAAAATAAGTACTTAACAATGTCACATAGATCTAATAAATAACTCAAAAATATCAGTTCTATTTATACCCTACACCACAAGGTGGTCAGGGTATTATGTCTTTGTGCATTTGTTTGTAACAGGCAAGTACAGTTCGAATGATGAAATTTTGCATATATCATTTGTTTGGCCCACGGACGAACCCTATTGAAATTGGATATAATCGCTAAAAATTTAGATATAGCTCCCATATATATCTTCGTCCGATTTGCCTTTTATTGTGCACCAAACGTGTAATATCAGCCCGAATAGTATGGAGTTTTGCACAAACAACCAAATTAGGCCTGAAAATAATAAATGGGATCAGATATAGCTATAGCTCCCATATATATTGTTCATCTGATTTGTTATTTTTGTCCTCTGCAGCCGTAATATGCATACTGTAACAACAATATTTGGGGAAATATATCAAATGCAGCTCAGAAATACCTTTGTTAAATTTTATCGAGATCGGTTCAGATTTGGATATAGCTCCCATATATAACTTCGTCCGATTTACATTTTATTGTGCACCAAACGTCTAATATTTGTCCAAATGGGATGGAATTTGTCACTTATGACCCAATTGAGTCTAGAAGCTAGTATGTTAAATTTCGTGAAGATCGGTTCAGATATAGCTATAGCTCCCATATATAGTGTTCATCTGATTTCTTATATTTGTTACCCACAGCCGTAATATGCACTCCGTAACAACGATATTCGGACAAATATGTCAAATACCGCTCAGAAATATCTTTGCCAAATTTTATCGAGATCGGTTCCGATTTGGATATAGCTCCCATATATATCTTTATCCGATATCAAATTAATTGTGCACCAAATGGGTAATACAAGTCCGAATTTAAAAGATATAAATGCTTCGGCATATTGAGTCTTTTGGACTTTAAATTATAATCATAGCGTGTATGATTGAATTCTCCCATAAAAACTTTTAATTGTTATGTTGAGCTCTACTAAATTAGCAAAGTGGTGTAGGGTATCATAAATTCGGTCCCGCCCGACTTTAAAAATTTCTTTACTGGTCTTAGAATACATTTCTTTAAACTTATTATTTTGTAATTGTGCTTGAGAGGTTGGAAGCCTAAGATTGGTCACTATGGACTTGGCCACAATTACGAACAATAATTTGTTGCTTAACGGTTCGTTTGTGGGTCGGATATTTTTTTCGCAACTTCTTATTTGTTTGCAAATCTAGTTTGGCTGGGTTACTAGTAATTGTTCAGTTCATTCAATATTTAGAGTTATCTTTTTGGAAAGGCTGACTCTTTAAGGATAACTTTTCATAAAATTTCCACGCGGTTTGGGAATTTTAAAAGGCTTTCAACAGTTTTTATTCCAATAAAATTGTAATACACTTATTTTGTTCCACAATCACGCTAAATATTTTTATAAAGCCAGTGTTTACATTTGGCTCAGTGAAGTCTCAGTGAATTTGTAGATTTGTGTAACATAGAAATTACTTAGTTTTCCATTTTAAGCTTCAATGTTAAGTTATTAACATGAATGTATGGACTTTTCCTTTGAAAGCTGTCAGTCAAAACGGGAAAAATGAACATCAATTAATGCCGCTTTTCAATAAATATTTATTACAGACGAAGAACAATTTCCCATTTTCGTATAGTGTCTGGTAAATAAGCATAAATGAATGAATAAAAAATGGAATCTGGTGCCGTCATAAAACGTTGTTGTATTCTAACAATTATGCACTTAAAGCTATGGACAACATTTTTCTACCATATGTTGTTTTACAGAAAAAAGATGTTTTTACAATGCTCTCAGAGAAAATATTGGAATAGGGAATATTTAAACTATCAGCCCAAATGAAAAAATATATTGAAAACATTGACCGTGATTTTTATCAGGTTCCTATTAAAAATTTCCGAGGGAATCTTCAAATATAAAAACTAAAATAAATAAA